GCTTTTCTCCAGCAGAGCAGAAATTCTGACTACTAAGCAGTAACTCCGTGTTGTCCCTCTGCCGACAAATTTTGAAAGTCATAACTACTTGGGAGGAGAGAAGTGCTAAGAGTGTGTAGCATGTGGGGACAGAGATGCTCAGAGTCTCACAGTGCACAGGACAGTCTCCTCAGGACAAAGAACCATCCACTCCAAATGCCAACAGTGGCGAGTTGAGAAACCCTGTCTGACTGATGCGGGTATCTGGAACAGGAACAAGTGATCCCATAGCACAGATTCTATCATAACACAGGCGAGGCTTGAGCAAGCTCGGGAGAGCTCAGTCCTTCAGAACATCCTCATACGTGCCAGGGGCCTCCAACAGATTCCTCAGCTACTATCCCTCCTGGCTGGACTCTTCCGCGAAGCAAAGAGTGGCACATTAACACTCTGATCATCAGAAGGATGCCCAAAGGTGTGCTCACCACACAAGTGGCCTCTTTGGAACAAAAGCATATTAGGAACAGCCGCTGGTAAAAACAAGTGTGAGAAATGTGACATCTCCAGGCATAATGAGCTTGGCCTATGAACTCTCACCCAGAAGTAGGGATGTTGGGTACCATAGTGTCTTACTGAAGGGAAGGCTGAGGCAGGAGGCTCTTTGTTTGTTTGTTTGTTGGTTGGTTGGTTTTTTTTTCAAGACAGGGTTTCTCTGTGTAGCTCTGGCTGTCCTGGAACTCACTCTGTAGACCAGGCTGGCCTCGAACTCAGAAATCCATCTGCCTCTGCCTCCCAAGTGCTGGGATTAAAGGCGTGCGCCACCACCGTCCGGCAAGGAGGCTCTCAAGTTCAAATGGACTACATATCAAAACCATCTCAAAACGAGGGACTTGGAGAGAGAAGGCAGGGAGGGGCTAGGAAGAACAACCAGCACCCCGGGACAAGTGCATAAAAAGCACCTGACCAGGGGTACTTCCAGGCAGGGCCACAACTCCGCCAAGTACTAGGTGGCAGAAAGAGTCACCTCAACTGCTTAGTTTCTCTTCCTACCCCTCCATTCTCCCCTCCCCCAAAACATGAGGCTGAAAGAAAAGGGCACGACAGGCCTCCACGGAAAGTATTGAGCACCTACTGTGTGTCAGCTGCCCAGGGAGGTTCCATGAAGCCAGAGCTGCTGGAAAAACCCATCCCAGAGCCATCCATTCAGATAGATAATCCTAACACTTGGCTAACAGCCCTGGTATCCTACGCATGTGCTGATCATAGAACCTGGCTATCCAGGCTCCTTCCAGATCCACCACAGAGAATCTAGGCTGGTGCACAGATCTCCTCACTGAGGGCAAGTAAAGCTACAGAGAGCAAGCAGTTAGATCTGACCACACTCCAGTGCCACCTGGTCCCCACTATTTGGGGTTCCCTCACCTTGTGGGGAATTCAAATTTCCTTCAGACACCCAATAGATTTCTTTATTTGTTTCAGATACTAGAAATAGTTCGTCTCTCCTGCCCAAGCCAGTCAAAATGCATGGTAGTATATAAAATCTAAGCACCAGGGACCTAAGCTGTCTTTAGGTCATAAACCACCTTTCTCACTTAAAGGTCTCTGCTTCTTTGATTCTTCTTAAAACAGGTCACCCCATTCTTTTTATAATTAAAAAAATAGCCAAGCAAGCATTTATTGACTGACTGATTGACGGACTGATTTATGTGTAGCACGCTCATAGCTTCACTGTTCACAGTGGAGGCAGCAAGCACCTGCCAATGCGCCCCCTCAGCCCAAGCCACTCTTGCTATCATCACTGTTTTTCTTTTTATAAGATATGCAACATGGGAATTCAACATCCAAATCTTCAGGAAACTGTTTAAAACCTCCAGCCATTGGGAAGCAGGGAGGCTGCAGAGAGGAAGATTAACTGTGGGCCTTCTGTCTGGCAAGGGGGCACATTCCAGCCCTCAAGAAGCTGAGGGAGGGGGATAGTGGGTTCAATGAAAACCCAACCAAGCAAGCACTGTGCTGGCCCTGCAGCCAGGCACACACTCCGGCTTGAGCCCAGCTCTGCCTTGCAATGCTCAACAAGCTACCTGACCTAGATGCATCTGCTGTGTCCTTAACTGCATCCTCCTCTGGCCACTGGGAGGCCTGTGAGGTAATCTGGGTAAAGAATTCAATTAGAGCCCCAAATGTTTGCCATCACCATACAGATCAGACATCTGGAAACACCTGACGTATGAACTGTCACAGTCTTCCCTGTCACGAGCAATGCACTTCAAAGGACATGGCCAGAGTGACACAGCCACTTCCAAACACCCATGCACATCTTTACAGGTCGCAGCATTTGACAGCCAGAAAATTAGTCCTCTAATCCCTCTCAGTAACTAGTCCTCTTTCTTCCACCTGGGGACAGGACACTTCTCCTCACAGGGCACACGCACAGCACCATAGTTAGTGGGGATTCTCAGAGTCTGCCTTGGGTAAAGTCCTGGCTCCATCATTCCCTAGAGGCAACCTAGCTTCTCTGTGCTTCAGTTCATCCTCTGTAAAGTGGACAGAATAATTACAAATTCAAGATTACTGAAAATACTGTGTAGCAAAGAGAAAGCATTTTTTGTTTGTTTGCTTGTTTGTTTTGAGACAATGCCTCCCCCCCACCCTTGTAGCTTTTGTTGACCTGGAACTTGCAATTTAGACCAAGCTAGCCTCAAACTCATAGAGACCTGCCTGCATCTGCCTGCTGGGATTAAAGGAGTGAAAAAACAATTATTATTGACTCATCTTTTCTCTTAAAGCAATAGATGGTCTCATGCCCCAAATTAAACCTAATTCATATACACAACACTCCTTTGCCACCTGATTCCTTATTTTTCCTTCCTGTGTTCCAGTGTGCTCACATCACTGCCTACACAGGCTAACAACCCTCAGCCTCAGCCAGCTTGGCAGCTCATGCCTTTAATCCCAGCATCCTGAGGCAGAGCCTGGCTCTTCTCTGTGGGAACAGAGGAGGCAGAGCTACCAACCTCTTTCGATTGTTTCCTTTTCCCCTTGTCCCCTTGTCCGTGCTCGAACCCAGGACCTCCAGCAAGTTAAGGTCAGCCTCCTGCCACAGAGCTACACCTCCAGCCTTCAAGCACCCCTATACCTCCCTCCCTTGCCTTTCCACTCCAGTTCACCGTGTCTCAAATGCAAAGAAGTCTGCCTGAAACTGTCTTCCTGCTCACCCTGCCTTAATCCAGACTCTCCCTTCTTACAAGGATATCTCTGGCCGCCTTGCCTCCTCAGACCTTGTAAACCTTAACTCCTTCATGTCGGACTTACCGCTAGGGACACCACTCTGATCATCTTTTTCCACTTGTTGGTCCGTATCCTCTCCATAGATAGGCTAGTTCCATCCTTTCCTTTTGGCCCCTTCCTCATTGCCTGTGACGATCTTCTCATCCCCAATCCCTCACAAACTAAGAACAAGAACAACACCCCTTCCCCTGTGGCCCCAACCCTGGCAGTGTGACAAGCGGGAGGCTCTGTGTAAGTATGCACTTTGGCATATATACTAAAAATGCTCATTGGATTTAAAGGAACATACCACCTTTCTCAGTAGGAGAGCCCAGCTTCCAGTGACAGGGATCTAGGAGAGGGTGTAAAGGAAGCAGGTACAGAGGAAAGCAGGAGGCCCAACCCACTGGTTGTTTTTCAGATTGCAAGAAAGATGAGGCAGACTCTGCTGCAGCCGTGATCCCTTTTAAGGCAAGTTTTTCTTCTGACCTCTGACCTCTAGCTCTGGTGCCCTTCACTCAAGCTGAGCAAAAGGTTAGAGCAACCCACACCTCTGCCCCTCCTGGAGACCAGGTCTTTCCTTTTCAAGGTGTCCCGAGTGCTCAAATTCTCCTCCCACAGGGGAGCTTTGGGCATGTACCCTTAGCCCACAATTTTGCCTCTTCCAAAAACTTTATAAGTTTTGTACTGAATCCACAAGTAAAACGTTTTCAGCATCAAATGGACAGAGCCCATCTAAAACTCCACAGGATCGACAGCAAAACACTCGATCACCTACACTCTTATCATCGAAGTCCTGCCAGTCAAGTACAGAACCAGCACCCAAACATTGGCTTCAGCACTGGGAAGGCAGAGGCAGGAGGACTGCCTGAAATTGAAACTAGTGAGTTCCAGGTAAGCCTTTGCTACAGTGATCTTGTCTTGAAGAGAGGAAAACAAAAGACAAAAACAGAACCCAAGCTTGCTCCTAGACTTGGTCATGTCAACCTGATCCGCACCTAACGTATAGCAGTACCAAGCCTACTAAGTCTTGGCATGGTCTGAGGCTTTGCCTGTCACGTTCTGGGCACAGCCATAAAGTCTGTGAATTGAGCAGTGGTCACCAGCATGCAAAGTTGTAGCCACACCCTCCCAAGTGTAGCCTTCTTTCTCCCTGATCCCACTGCTGTGGTTTCTCTATGGCAGGCCAGATTCTCCCTAACACCAGTCCACTCAGGCAGTCCGACAAAAGCTAAGATAATAACCTATTGTAAACAGTGGCTTATCTGATGCAGAAGTTATTTGCATTTTGGGTCAAAGCTACCTGGAACAGTCGCAGCCAGGTATTGGAGGTTAAAAATATCTCCCACCAGACTCACTCACAGAAGGGAAGGAGTTGAACTGACTGCTCGAATTTATCGGTCTACAACATTAAGACGCGTGGAAAAGTGACGGTTACAGATCTCCCAATGGCCTCCCGATATCATCTTTTGGGTAAAGTGACTCTTTTAGCAAAAGCTAAGCTTTTACTAAAAAGCTCCTGAACGTGGGATAGTGTCAGCTAATGTCTCTGGAAATCTGCAAAATCTGGAAATCCACTTTGGTCTGAACTAACAGTCGCCCGGCCCCAGGGGTACCAATAAACAGGAGTTGGAACTACAAGACAACTCCAACTTCAGAAGGCCGATGCTCCTCCCCTAATCGCTGCCAAGGTGGCCAGGGATCTGGTGTTGCGTTGCCACGTAGGCGAGTGGGGGACTTCAGGGGTCGCTCACCTCTCGGGCAGAGCGCAGCTGCTGGCGCAGCGCATCCTTGCAGCCGTACGGGCCGCCTGCGCCCGCGCCGCGGGGCTGGAAATGAGCCTCGACGCGCGTGGCACCGCGGTAGGCACCCCGGTAGAAGGAGGGCCAGCCGAGCTCCAACGCGGGCGGCTCCAGGTCCGACTGCTCCGGAAAGTAGGTGCCCGACGAGCAGTCGTGAGAGGAGCCGAACGAGTCCTCGGCCACCGCCGCGCCATCCTCTCCCGGCCGTTCGGCGGCGCCCAGAACCTCGCGCACCTCATCGGCGTTGAGGAAGCGGCCCAGCCGTTCGCGCCGTAGGAAGGAGGCCCAGGCGTCGGGACCGCCGGCCAGCAGCTGCTCCAGAGCCAGGCGCCGCGCCTCGCTGAACAGCTCCGTGGGGTTGGGCGGTCCGCACGGAGACAGGCAGGCCGCGGGAAGGTCGTCCAACAGCTCGCAGCGAGCAGCCATGACAGTGTCCAGAACCGATCCACTAAACTGCGGCGGTCGCCTGAGAGTTTTATAGGCACCTTTGAATCAAACCAGCCCGCGCTATTGGCTCGCCGCCCCGCCCCGGCAATTCCATTGGCTGGATGTCTTCCCACGAGCAGCGAAGGCTCCGCCCTCTTATTGCTATTGGTTTCTCCTGAGGCAGGGCCCGCCCACCCTCTGCTCTCACTGCCTGACGGCTGAGCAGAATTTAAATCCGACTTTACCCCGCCCTAGCGGCTCCAGAACCATCCCAACTCGGGAAAGAGCCCCGCACTGTCCGAGCACTCCCCCTGCCGGCTGCCCCACAACGTGGTGCTCCGAGGGCCCTGAGTAGGGGTAGGACTTGCTACTGGACATGCATGCTTTGGTGTGATCAACCTCGTTGCTGTTCCACCTTGCATCTAATCATTAATCTATTCATCATAAGAGAGAGAAAGAAATAGAGAGGAAAGGAGAGAGAGAGAGAGAAAAAGAGAGAAAGAGAGAGAGAGAGAGGCAAAGAGACAGAGACAGAAGCAGAGACAGAGACAGAGCCTGGAGCAATGCATTTCCAGAGGATCTGGGTTTAGTGCTGTCTCACTTGGCAACCCCTAACTACCTATAATGGTTCCAGGGAATCTGATGCCCTTTCTGGTATCCACGGATACTGTGTGTGCACGTGGTGCACACACATACACATTAAATAAATAAAAATAAATAAATAAATCTTTTTTTCCCCAATGTTGCAAAGCCGAGGGTGATGGCACACTCCTAGCACATGGGAGATTGAGGTAGGAGAATCTGGAGTTCAAAGCCATCTTATGCAATGTAGCAAATTCAAGCCCATCATAAGTTAGTTACAGAAGATCTTTCGAACATACATGCATACATACATACACACATACACAGATATATACATATACACATACATATATGCATATACGTGTACATCTACACACACATCTTGTAGCCAAAGAGGACCTTGACTTTCTAATCCCCTGACTCCATCTCTGTAAACTTAAAACAGATCAGTACTGCTGTGAAGGCTCCCTCTCCCTCTCTCCATCCTTCCCTGCTCTCAGCCTACTCAGGGAAGTTACTCCAGCCTGAAGGCACGAGCTTCCTGTGTCCGCACTCTGGCATCCAGTATGCAGAAGGCTACAAGAGAGCGACTTTCCTCTATCAAGACCAGTTCTTGTATGTAATAAGGACAAGGGCCAGGCCCTGGGGCTATACAGCCACACAGTGTGTCTTTGCCTCTATTTCCTGGGTTTAAAAGCAAGGATAATCAGAGCTTTACCTAGTTCGATTGAATGACGTAGAACATTGATCTCCACTATAAGCTAAATAAAAAAGCCCAGACAGAAATATGGGAAGGCCCAGGACAAGCCAGTGTGTTCCAAGTGCAGAACAAAGTGGTCACCTTGGTAACATATAAATATGTCACCAATCAAACTGCAATCAAACTACTGTTGTAGGATATCACCTGATTTCAAAGGGACTATTTGACAGAATAAAGCCTGACACTAACCACCTATCTTTCCTTGAATTTGTAAGTTTTCACTATCTCCCAATCTAGAAACCTCTTCAGTTCCACCTATGTATCCCCAAAGCTCCCCCTGCCTTGGGGACCTCCTAGGAGAGCCTTCTGGGTGCAACCATGCTTGGGAGTCTCCCTGGTACCAACTCTTGTGAAACGCAAGCCAGCCCCGTGCAGATGAGGGCACAGCAGTAAACACAGTCAGACCAACAGGTGTTATTAAAAGGAATTTAATAATCTTAATTAAAAATCCATAACAGCGAATCCCATCACAGGCCTTGGCAGCTGGAAGTAACTCCAGAGGCACAGGCCCCTTGGTGATATGGTCAGACTCCATGTTGGAGGCACAGAGCTACTTCAATACAATATCAAAGATCCATGAGAATATTGTTTTAAAAAAAGTTTTAAATATATTAGACTCTTTTGATTGCCATTTTTACACAAAGCTGCTGATACAGTATACAGAGTTTTAACTTTTTTTCACATAAAATACATTTTTTTTCTTAAGTGTTCTCTGTACATCAGTGGCTTCTGGTCTGGTGAATTATTGCGGAGGGCTGGGTGTCTGCAGACTTTTCCTGGGTGTGCAGAGCCAGGCCCCGCACAGTGGCATTTGAAGTGCCCTTGAGAAGCAGGCCCTCTGGTCAACAAGGGAGAGGTCTCGGGCTTTCTAGGAAAGTGGTAGGTCACTTCAGTGGAGCTGTCAGCTCTGGCCATAAGACCCTTGGCTTTTCTGTGCCCTGGGGAAGAAGGGGATATCACCAGGCTACAAATAGCAAGAGTTCAGACAGTTCTGACATCACATAGGGATGGCCCCTCTGGAAAATATCCCAGTATCCTGCTTTGGGAGAGCAGGTAGGAGATAACACCCAGGACCAGAGGCTATCAAACACAGAACCAAGAGTCTCCCATTGTTACAAAGCTAGACTGTGTTAACCCAACCCAGAGGCCTTACTTATTTATTCATGTATTAATTTATTTGGTTTTTTGAGACAGGGTTTCTCCGTGTATCCCTGGGTGTCCTGGAACTCACTCTGTAGACCAGGCTGGCCTGGAACTCAGAGATCCGCCGCATGCCTCTGCCTCCTTTGTGCTGGGATTAAAGGTGTGTGCCACTACACCTGGCTGAGGGCCACACTCTAGCAAGCTTTCCAAACATCTAAAAGTTAATCAAATAGTTCAGAGAAGCTTCATTAATGCTGCATATTTGATAAAGAATTATATCCCCAAAGTAGACTTGGGTTTAGGATTCATTCCGATTCCCTGAGCTACTGGCCAGAAATTCACAACCTGGTGATAGCTACCAATTTCTAATAGTCTGGGGAGCGTAAGGTGGGTGCAAAGAACCACAGCTCACAGGGAACTGCAGGGCACCTGGTTTGGAAATAGATATCTTCAGTAGGAGTGAGCCATCTGGTCAACCTTGCTAGGCTTCCCCCTAGCCCTTGGATCCACATCTTCCAGGGAGAGAGGCTGACACACATGGAAATGTTTAATTTAAAGAGAAGTAGTTGTTCTCCCTCCCAACACCCATTGGTGGTGTAGGGGAGAAGACTGTATGATTCACAAGCAAAAATGAACAGGAAAGGCCTGTAAATGCTAGAGATGTATTTGACAGCAAATTTGCAGATTTCTGGTTCTTCCAGGCACTGATCTTAGACTGCTGTTATATTGTTCTTCATGGATGCTGGCCTGAAGGCTACCATGAAGGCTCTAGATGGATGGGCAGAGATAGTGTCTACCTGGTACCTGAGATCTAGCTTCTGCACTTCGTGGCAAATGTTATCTAGGTGTGGCCATTAAACTGTGTCCCAGCTAAAGAGATTTACACTGTAAGAACTGCAGGTGCTGCAGAGCACTGGGGGCACCGGTCTGGGATGGAGGCACTCTGACTAGAATAATGGATGAGTCTGGGGATGCCCACAGTCCTCAAGAGATCAAAGTCTTTGCTGACTGGCTAGTCCATTATCTGCCAAAACTAACAGCACATCTAGTGTGTCTCAGCACCTCAATAGATCACATGAGTGAATGGGTGGGTGGCCCTGTCTCATGTGCTAGAGATTGTTCCTCATCATGCCTCTCAATATTCCAAAGAGTCACAAAGTGCCTTGGGGACTTGGAGGCTGAACAGGGAACATTTATCCCTTGTGGAAAACGTGAACAAAGGCCCATGAATCCACACTGTCTGGGGCTAGTTCCCATGGAGGAGGCAGCTGAGTTTCCTATCCCTCAGGTAGAGAAGAATGACACAGGAGGCAGGAAGAAGTGCTGGGTGTGGAGAAATGGCCTGAATGGCTCAGAAAAGGCAATAAATGCCTTCATTCTCTGGCCCCTGAGCAAAGAGCTCAGAAACTCCAGGCAGCTGACTCCTAGGAGTATGTGGTTGGCTGCCTGGGCAACTGCCCACCTTGTGGCTAAAGTCATCTCCAGAGGCATTTCAGTGTCTGTTAGAGCTAAGAGTTTAAAGCCACAGTTGTGTGTTTCGATCATCTACTCTTTCATCCCTAGCTGAGGCCCCAGGGATTCAAGAAACTGTCTTCATTATGTTATCTCACCATTCCAGATTCCATCTGTCCTGGAGTTGGGACAGGGATGACCTAGCGTTATGCACCTCCTGCATCCAGCAGCCTCCAGGGTGCTCTCTGGCCCACGCTCCTGGTTCTAATAAAGCATCTGCCCAGTCTAGTCAGGTCCTGGTTCATCTCTACTCTACTGAGGTCCCAAGGCCACAGTGGAGACAGAGACCAACAAATGGCAAGCCCAACTACTAAATGTGTGGCACTGGGGAGCCATAAAGAAGTGGACATCTGTCCCATACATCTGAATGATGTAGGGACCCTCTCGGGGCTCTAAGGAGGTAGTTTGAGGACAAATAAAAAGAGCACAGAGCAAGGAACAAACTCGTAGCTTGCCAGTTACACCAGAAGGTTTTGGTGGAGCCAGTGTGTCGCACTCAAGGTACAGAGCACAATCTCAGTGGGTTTGTGGGAAAGTGTGGTGGTGATGTGGTGTGGGCTTCCTTCCTTCCCTAGCAGCAAGAAGACAGGGGCAGCAAAGCTGTACAGCTGGGATGATAGCCAACTCCAACCAGGCCACGCTCTCCTGAACGAAGCACAGGATAGCAGCCATGGGCACCTCAGTTTGCAGCTTTGGCCATTACCACTTCCAGGAGAAGCAGACTGAGAGCTTTGAGACCTCCTGGCAAGAGCCGACAAGTGACACTTGGCGAACATGTCTTACTTACACAGCATTACAGAAAAGGCAAAGCTTGGAAGCTTGGAGGGGCGTGGCCTGAGCATTCACTCTGCAGACTGAGCTGGGTCAGGTGGGAGGTGTAAGCAAGCCTCAACTGCTAATGTGATGGCCTGAGAAGGGCAGGCTGAGATGGGCTGGACCAAAACAGCATGGAAACCACAGAGACCAGCTAGGGTGCTGTATTGTATCAACGTTAACCACGGTGTTCTCAGCAATGTGCTCA